AGTGCTTGGAGTTGAGCACGTTTGACTCGTGTTGATCCTTGGTATTTCTGCTGCATGGACCTCCATATCGCTTGTGACGTGCTTTTGTCCAGTATTGTTTCAAGAATCTCTCTATCAATAGCCTGAAACAAGTAGTTCTTTACTTTCATATCCTTTAGATTCGCCTCAGCAGCACTCCTCCTCTGTGCCTCAGTGGGCGTGGCTCCAACCGTTGGCATGGCATCTTCTACTAGTTGCCACAGTTCCTTACTGCGTAGAAAATTTTCCATGGTCATGGACCAAAAATCATAGTGGCCATCAAATCTTGGAATGGCCGGTTGAACAAACTTCTCTGATGTAGACATTCTACTCCCACACTTCTCACTTAGGTTGCCCACACTCTGTACCAGATTGTTCTTCACATTAGATCTGGATATTTGCTCTCCGCACACGTAACTCACTCACTTACTGTACCAGAATGGCTCTGGTACCAATTGTAAACTCAAAGTAAACGTCTTTTCTTTTTCACACTTTATTCAATGCAAAGAATGGCTTATATAAGCCTTACAGACTCTCAGAAACAAACTAACTGACACTACACACTAAGTGGCACTAAGATAGGAGTAAATAAAGCAACTAATAACAGACCCATTCAGCCCCATAATATAGGGGCATTATTGACACGTAAATAACTAACAAGCCCTTGGCAACAAGCCGGGCCTTGAAGTGTTCTATTTCACCAATTGCTTAATACTTCACCTTAAAACCCCATTTGTAGCCAATACATGTCTTGCCAGGAGGCAAAGTGACAACAGTCCAGGTCTTATTCAATTCTAGAGCCTGAATTTCTTCTGTCATTGCCTTTATACAATCAGGATTATGTTTTACTTCAGCAAAGGTTCTAGGTTCAAAAGTTTGAGAGGTACAACAAATGAAAGATTGAGTAGATTTTGGTAAGCGAGAATAAGAAATATTTTGAGAAACCAGATACTGACCTAAGGAAGAAGAAGAAGATTGGCAGATAAGCACATAATCATTTAACCAGTGGGAAGGCTTCACAGTTCGAGAAGAAGTTCGAACACCAGGCAGCCTATTAACTGAATAATTGAAAGGTAAGCACATAATCATTTTTCTCAGTAATGGACCGCACCTAATATATGATATCATGTTAAGTGTAAAACAGTAAACATGAAAGCAACATTGAATAATTTCCTCAATGGTTTTATTTATTATAACAGGCAGCCTATTATACACAGTATTTTACAAACTAACTGAATACATAACCTCTGCTTAATCAATTAACTGCTTCCTACCTAACCTCCTAAGATAATTAATAAACCACTTAACAGACTCAAACTTGAAACCATGAATTGAAGCTCGTAAAAGCTCAAAATGAAAAAAAAATCTTAAACTTAAATCGATTGAAGCTTTAAACTCAAACATGAACCTTAAATACATGAAAATCTTATATTGTATTTTTATATAAAAAAACAACACATAAATGTTGATATTATTAATAATTTTATTTTTTAAAAATATAAAATCTTAATATATTATTTTCGAGTTGCTAGCAAGCTTTTTAAGTCGACTATCAAGTAACTCGTCTCGACTCGTTAAGAACTCGAGTTGAGTCTATTCGAGTCGAGTATTTATCGAACTTTGATCGAATTAATCTCGAATAACTCACTATCTATTTTATCTCATTCACAACCCTATAAGCAAACCCAAATCAAGAGGCTCGTTTCTAAATACTCATTAAAGGGCCCAAGATTCTCGGCACTTGGTTTTTTATGCTTGATTATTCCAACCCATATATATATATATATATATATATATATATATATATATATATATATATATATATATCCTAAAACTTTTAATTTTACGTACTTTTACTATTATTGAATCAGTGAAAATATCAACTGTTAATGGTTTATTTTCACCCGTTTAATGATTTTAAAAAAATTATATAATATGAACAGATCATACATATATATATACATAAATATTCAACTTTAGATCGATATGAATGGGGCTCATAAGTCAACATATGAAGTAAAGTAAGGTTTAAAAAGGAAAACTAAGTTTAAGATGGCGATAAGTATGTCGTTTGTGTTGTTTTGGTTTGTCCTTTGCCTTTTCAAACCCTCTCATAACAAAGAAGCAAAAGCATACATTTGTTTAGTGAGAAACGGGGTGTGGACCACAAAAACATGTTCTCTCAACAGTGATTTCACGCAGGGAAGTAGAGTTTTGATGCACAAGATTGCCAATTAACAAGGCATTCAAGTCTTGTGGAAGGTAATATTAAATTCAGGGTCGGATATATTCTCTTTGATAACATATATTAGAATCATTAACGAGGCATATGAAGGAGAATATATACGAAGGTGTGCACATGATTCTGTCACAAATTTTAATCAAATCTTTGGTCATTAGACACCAAAAGTCGCATTTGATTCTGTCAACGAGAGCTAAACTGCAAAAGATGATACTTTCACCTTCAATGAGAAGAATGAAAACTACTGACTTCTTTTATTTGTTAAATTGTAGACAGCCACAATAACTTCATGGTCATGACAAAAAAAAAAGTTATACCTATATTTTTTTTAGATCGAGGGTTATAGAAACTTATTATGAAATAATCTTTTTTAATAATTTTATTACTAATGTTAATCTTCAAACTCTTTTTTTAACAATATGAAGTGATTACAAAGTAGAATTTGTTCAGAACTTTCTTGACCTGTTAATGATGCACACACACCATGCAGACGTAGTTGCTCAGACCCAAAACCTCTAAAGAGAATGATATTCACTTTTACCGTTGTGGCCATTTAATGATTAAACTCCTAATTTAATTTAAAAATAATGATATTTTGTCCTATTTGATCAATTAATTATTGATTATATACCTATAATCTTAATTTAAGATATATTTTTTTGAAAAAGAATTTTTATACGATTTTATTAGAATAACGCATACAAAACAAGACATAGACATGATCCTCGTTAAAAAAACCACTCTAGGTACTTATTGGTTTTCAGCATTGTTTCCCTACTTTTATAGATAAGTCATACAAAACGTGAATAGAATTCATCTGCCCTCACTCTATGCTCCTATATATGTTTCACCACTTATATTATGACACATGTATTAATGATATATTAACAAACTAAGGAAGTTCACCATTTTCTTTATTTCTTTCTTTTTCATTCAATTTTTATTTTTTTACAAAAAACAAAATTTTTGATAATATTTTAAAAAATTTCAACAATATTATATTATTTTAGTGAATTTAACTTATTTTTAAAATTATTTTTTATCTACTATTAATTTTATTTTTTAAATTAAGTCATACACAAAATTCAATTCAATTAGTTTTATTTATGTTTTTATTTTATATTTTAGGATTTAGGGTTTAGGGTTTTGATTATGAAATTTAAGATTTGAAGTTTAGAGCTTAGGGTTTATGGTTTAGAATTTTAATTAAATAAATTAAATTCACCAACATAAACTTAATATTATCAAACTAATGTTAATTTTATTTCAGTAAAAAATAAAAAAAATGAAAAAGAAGGAAATTAAAATAACGACAGACTTCCTTAATTTATTAACATATCATTAATATATGAGTCATGATATAAATAGTGGAACACATATACAGGGACATGGAGTGGGGATAGAGAAGTTCTATTCGACAAAATGCTAGAAATCTTTGCTAAACCTAGGATTTAATCCATTAATTTTTTGGGATAAAACTTTTCAACTATTAATTTATTTCTTTTTTTAATTTATTTCTTCTATACAATATTCTCTAATATTCTTAGACGCTCTCTCTCTATTAACCATGTATACAAAATCCTTCATACATACTCATCGTGCTGGGTTCGATGTTTTAATACATAAATTATAACGATCATCAAGATTAATAATCTTAATGAGTTCTGTCGATTGTTTTAACCTTTGATCGGGGTCATCATAGGCCATACGTGGCATTTTATCGCTTGTCCAGAGTTTCAGGATCATGTACCCGACCACATGACTTCACAAAACATAACAATTAGAAAAGTGAGATAATTTCTTGTCGTTATTGTGACATAATCTCATGTAAAAACCTAAATAGTAGGTAATCCAACTTTAGTAGTGTTTTAATTTTATAATTAACTTGGTCTCTTTTTTAGGTCTTAGAGTTTGGTACCATAGCACACGTGCATGTCTTTAAGTCCACAAATTTCAATTTTGCAACATTTTTTAAGGTTGTCTGGTTCCAACTTATTGATAGCACTAAGTGTCAACGACTATGAAGGGGGACCATTGTCTATAAATGTAAGTTTAAGTCTTTTTCTCCCTTTCTTTTAAGGTTTAGATTTCTCCCATAAACTCTATAGCCAAAACCAGTAAAGAGTACTTCAATATAAAATAGTTGAGAAAAACCCTAATTCATACCAATAATGATAAATTATCTGTCGTTGTGTCTTGACCTGCAGATCAAGTCGAATAAACTTTATCACTTTATTATTTATATATATATTTACACATACAGAAGCATCTAGATATGTATATATGTATTAAATATATATATATATATATACTTAAATAAAAATAGATGTTAGATTTTATATTAGGAAGTAAATTTTTGTATAAAATTATATAAAAATTTTAAGGATATGAAATTATAAAATTTCAATAAAATAATTTTTGATAAAAGTATATAAATTATATAAGAATTTAAAATTCCCGACATCTTTTTTCAATTAAGGGATGGATGGAAAGGTGTTGGATGGGAGGTCGCAACCCGGAAAATTTTAATTTTCTATATAATATAATTATTTCCTTTGTAATTTTTTTATGATATGGTTTTACATTCCTTGAAATTTTATAATTTTGTGTACTTAAATTTTCATAAAATATTGCTTCCATCTCTTCGTCTATGCATCTGTATATATAGCAAGTTAGCTGTTAGAAGAGACGTGTCTGAGTTTAAGAGGATAATAATTTGTTTCTTCCTTTTAATAGAGAGATGTCTGATAATTTAGGCATTAATTTAGACTGGAAGTACAACTTTGCTGGTGGTAGACTGCTTCCGATAGCGAACGTCGGCCGAATCATGAAGCAGATTTTACCTCCGAACGCAAAGATCTCCAAAGAAGCGAAAGAAACCATGCAGGAATGCGTGTCGGAGTTCATTAGCTTCGTCACCGGGGAGGCATCCGATAAGTGCCACAAGGAAAAGCGTAAGACGGTGAACGGCGACGACATTTGTTGGGCGCTGGCGACTCTAGGGTTCGATAACTACGCGGAGCAACTGAAAAAGTATTTGATTAGGTATAGGGAACAAGATGGAGAAAGGGTTAACTTGAATAGGGCTGCTGGTAGCCACCAAGAAAAGGAAGAAACTTCGAATTACAGGTCCGTGGTTCAATCAACACCGTTCAAGTTTAAAATATAAAATCATGGTGAATTGTCTGTTTCAATGCCTGAATTTACATCAAACTACTTTTTATATTTCTCATGTGCTGAATCTGGTTCTTATATGTTTCTCTCTTACAAATATTGAGTTTTTTTATTGGAAGTATTTTGTTAAATCATCATCTGTTTATGACATCTGAGTTCATGATTGGGATTTTATTGTTTGGAAATCTTAGGGGGTTTTTTCTTCCTTAAAATTTCCATTTTGAGCTCAATTCTTCAACTGTTTTCACTGTTCTTCACCGGCACTAGAAAGTAAAGACTAAAGACTACTGCTTTCATATTTATACCGTACACCATAGATAAGAAAGGAACTTATTAAAGAGTTTTAAGAAACCCTTTTTCCTTTTGGTTATTATTGTTCATCTCTCGCCAGCTTAATTGCTGGTTTATTTCAAAGAAACTCAAACCCAGACCTAGTTTTGATGATTTTGTTCGGTAAGGAAAATGAAAAGGAGCAAAAGTTTAAAATTTATTAATTAAATAGTTAAAATTCAAAATAATTTTTCATTTTTGTTATTAAATTAACAAAATTTTTATTATCAATCTTGTTCATCTTCCGAGCAAACTGATATAATATGCATACAAGCACCATTCAAGTAACAAATTCCAAGGCTTGTTTTCCAAATTAATTTTATGCTTAGACTTGAAGTGAATGAAGATCTTAGAAATCAAAGTCCATTATATTAGATTCACAGTGCTCTCTAGTGTCTTCCTTAATTATGGCTTCCTCCTCTATGTTGTGTTGATCAATCAAAGTCCATTATATTGGATCTACCTTAATTATGGCTCCATCCTCTATATTGTGTTTATCTTCAGCTTTTATTTTCTTCATACATAATCATTGTCAAAATTACATGCAATAAATCTTTTTAAGTACGAGTTAAGAAATTATCATGTATGTTTAATCAATTTATTTTTAAATATCAATTAAGAAAATATGATGATTTTTTCACATTCATATATAAAATCAATAGCTTTTATTATAAATTTTAATTTATACAAATTTATTTATTTTGTTTATTTGTTCTATTTGAGGTTTAGTGATTTATATTTTAGGGTTTAAAATAGAAATTAAAATTTTAAATTTTATGATTTAAATAAACAAGATTATCTAAATTTTAGTTCACATGGTCTGTGTATAAAAAAATTACGTTCATTATAAATGTTGAAAAGGCACTGTTGCAAAACGAAATTGATAGCAATAATAATTGTAAATAAAAAACTCGATATGAATATCAATTTTATTCTGATAGGCGGTCGCAACCCTGAAATTTTATAAGTTCAAGTTCGTCTTTCCTAACATAAAATCATGCGCCCGTCCTTGACGTCATCCTTTCGGATCGATAAAAATACACCTAAAATAAGAAAGTTGGATTTTAGAATGTATTTTTCTTTTAAAAAAAGAAAATTACAAAAGCAGAGACAAAAATCTCAAAAGCGTAACAAATATAAAGGCAGAAATTTTAGAGATTAAATTGTGAAAAGAAAATGAGAGAAAGAAGCAAATTGAATTGTGCCAAAGCATAAATTTTCTTCCTTTAGATTATTCAATGTATATTATATATGTATATACTTTTATGTTAGAGATTAAATTTATAAAATTTTAAAGGTGAAAACATATTATTAAAATAAAAAATATTAAGAGAATTTAATATTTTTAAATAATAACTCCCCCGCCCGCCCCTATTAATACATCCCTGATCATATGTGTGTGTAATAGTGTGCTCATTTCTTCATTTGTAGTTTCAAAGTAGTCATACATATCCGAGGTTAGGGCTTCACTCTAAAAGTGGTAGATCTTGGGACCACACTTGGTATTTGGACATTTATTTGTTTTGTCGTGAAAACCTCCATCGGGTCTCGATCATGCTGCCATTAATATATAATATTGAAATGGATTGAATTATATAGTTTTCCAGCAAGTGAGGATCATGACCCGAAGTCAAGGTTTTGGCTGTTCCGTTAATTTACACACCATTGGCTGCAGATAATTAAAGCATGGAGAGTAAATAATTGGACTATCTTTCTTTTTCTTTCTAGGGTCTCTCGTCTGGATATTTTTTGTTTAGTTAACCGTTTGAAAAGATAAAGTCCGCAAGAAAAACGAAAGTGAAAGATGCTGTTTGATTCCTCTTTCTTGGAAATTCAGTAAAAAAGAAGAAGAAGATGCAATTGGATTTCAGACAGGCAAGAATTAGTTGTCAAAACCTAGACAAACAACCCCTTTGAACCCAACTCCAACTTCTTTGTAATGAGATTCATTTCTTAATTAATTGTCAACTTGTCTTGTCTTATTCATGATTGAAATTGGATAATGAAGAAGATTGATCGTAGCAACAAAGCGAAAGGAGGAGCAGTAAAACAAAGAATATATATCGGACAACAGCACAACGAATAAACGGCGCACAGTTCACGACAGAACGACAAACAAAATACATAAGGGAAACGAAAGCAACATAAAAACGAAGAGCATCGTATCAGACAGCAGCAATGAGACGAGACAAAAGATATACACAGAACACATAACACCGAACATCAATGAAATGAAAAAGCAAATTTGAGCGAGCCATAAAACAATACGAAGACAACAACGGAAACTGGGCTTTGAAATTGACGGAAATGAGGGGGAAATTATTTTGGAGCTTGTAAGATTAGATGGATTTTAGTTTCCGGACTTCGGACGTGAGGCAATCGTTTGATTTGAAAGTGAATCAAGAGGAGCCTCAATTCAGTTCAGATTTTAAAAATCGGATGAAAGTGATATTGTAGGTAGCTTATCGAGCTCGGGAGTTTGTGTAGAAGCTTGGTTTTAATATTGACGGGCCGAACAAGTCCTAGTTCTTGAACTAGGCAAGTTGGTTGGGCTATAGATGTTAGGGGTGACATTTCGTTTTTTAGTGCCTGTATTGGTGTTGGAGGGTTCATATCAGATACTTAAATAGCGACTGGATTGTCTTATAACTGTCGTTATATCATTCTAGCGGTAACATTAAAGACCGTTATTGCGGAAAATAGTGGTGCGAAGCTGAATCACACTAATAACAATGAAGCAACCGTAATTTAACGAATAATGGACAATCGCAACAATAACAAACACTATTATGTAATTTTTCCGCTATTTTTAAATCCCAACTCAGCTGGCATCGGCGCATACATTGTTGAGTGTTGACGTTGTTGGGGATGATTTTTTTTCCCTTCAATTTGCTGGGTATGATAAAAGGGTAAGTGCTATATTTGATTGTGATACGTGTTGCTTTCCAAGTCTTTGCTTTGTGAAGGGTGGTCCCAATTAGCTTGCTTCTGCTCGAGGATACCATGCTTATATTGGGCGAAAATCAAGATGAATTTACGTCATAAGTTTACTTCAATTTTGAATTTATGAATTTCAAATTCTTTGAGAAATATTTTTGAATTTAATTTTAATGTGAGATATGGATCCATTAAATTATGTGTAGGGATTCAAAGAATTGAATTCCAAAATCTTTGCAAGATCTGAGTGGTTGCACACTTTGTGAAGGCACATCTTGAATCTTGATGGTTTAGGGTTTGATTAACAATGATTCGGAACTTTTTTTCTACATTTCTTTAAATTTGAACCAACTCAAATATCATGGGAAAACGAGATAACAAAATAAATTTGTTTCAGGATTTATCATGTCGTCTTAATGGGTTTACTAAAATCTCTAAGTAGACAAATCTGTATAACAAAAATTATCGTGGAAGTAACTTTGGTTACTGATTTTGCTTCAGAATATTTGTTTATGTCCGATAACAAAATCGAAAATAAACAAGAATTAATTTTCTGTTTCTTGGAATCTTTGATTCCGTGTTTGAAATCAACTGAAATTTTAATTATGTCGTGTAACAGAATTATTTGATTTCTATAGAAATTGATGGAAAGTAACAACCATGTTACTGATTTGTTCAAAATTTTACTTCATGACTAAATTATGTTGATAGAATAAGTCAAAATTTAATTTTGATTTCTTGTTGGAATTATTATTAAGAGAATATACGATTTTAACCAACTTTTTTTTGGATTTGCCAAAATGACCAACAAATTCGCAACGCGAAAGTCAAATTCGCAATGCGAACTCCAATTTCGCAACCCAGTTTCCAATTTCGCAACGCGAATCTATAAATCGCAACACAGAAGTCAAATTCGCAACACAAAAGTCAAATTCGCAACGCGATAGTCAAATTCGCAACGTGAATAATAAAAAGCGCAATGTGAATAGTAAAATCGCAACGAATCTATATGTAAATTATCTCTTATCATCCATCTATAATAATTTGTTGGAAAAGTACATAAATAATTTTTATAAAAAATATTCGTACACGTGAAAAAATTTATATGTAAATGAACAACAAATCTATTTCATTTGTCAATCTTCATTACAAATTATTCTAAATTCAATTAATTAAAGTTTGAAATTTGAAAGAATCCTTAACCCAGATTAATTAAATACATTTAAAAAATTAAATTTTGAATTATATTAAGAAAAAGTTGATTCCTATACACATGTAGATAAGTTTTATTTTTCACTTAAAATCCCAGTCTAGAAGCAGAGAGTTACCATTTGAAATTCGCAACACGATTTTGCGATTTTCTAAATTCGCGTTGCGATTTTACTATTCACGCTGCGATTTTACTATTCACGCTACGATTTTGGAAACTGAGTTGCAAAATTGGAGTTCGCGTTGCGAATTCGAGATCGCGTTGCGATTTTGTTGGTCATTTTGGCAAATCCAAAAAAAATATTGGTTAAAATCGTATATTATAAGGCATTTTCGGTCACTAAGGTTATTTTCTCTATTATTAATTCTAGTTTCGTGTGTTAAATGAAATCATGATTGTTGGTGGCCATGAGCCACAATGAGAAACTTGTAAAATTCTATGAATAAAATTTCAAGATGTGATAACATAAGATGTTATTTTATTTGGTCTTGGTGAATTTGACCAAATGTGATATGATCCTTCTATTATTAGAGAGGATGAGGTAAACGTTGTTACAGGATCTTGGAAGCATTATAACTTTCTTTGTTGGAAATACATCTTGACTGTATTATTGGACACACAATATAAGGTGTACAATTGAGCCATAGATACAAAACGGAAGATGTTGGTACTAATGAATTATTAGAGACCAAGTTCTTAAACTTCGTAATAATGACATAAACGAGGGAGAATAAATGTTTTATTATCTTCAATAATAATAACAAAAGTATTGTTATGTGTATTTGCTAAAGAGTAAAATGAAGTTATAAAAAATTATTTTCTATAAACATGAAATTGAAAACCAACATAATAAATAGATTAAGATGGTAAGAAGTGTGCACAACGTGATATTACTCATGAAGTGACATCACTATATTCTCCTAAATAAATGGAGTAGCAAAGCGGAAGAATTGAACAATGAAAGCAATGTAAAGAAGTTCTGAGTTCTTAGACCATGTGGAGGAGAGAGAAGTTGTTCTGTCAACTAATTACCTTTTAAATAAGTTCTCCATGAAAATGACAAGACACCATATGAATTATGAAAAATGTTGAAAACATGTGTCATACAAACAGTTGAAAATGTGAGGTGTCTTGAGAAGGTAATAGTCATATTACCAAAGCAAATGAAAATAAATCCTAAACGATGGATTGTATTTTCTTTGATTATCCTACTATTTTAGAAGGATAGACTGATGCTAGCTGGAATTTGATATTTAAATATCAATGGCACAAGTGAATATATTTCACATTGAAAAGATAAGTCGTGTTATGAAAATCCTTAAGAAAATAGTTATAACCAGATTCATAATGGAATCTGAGTTTGTAGTTCTAGATAAGTCTAGAGAATAAGCTGAAAATGTGCCTAGCGTGCAAGCGCATTCGGGGTGTAAATTGAAGCCCGTTGAACCCATTTGGGTTGGGGCGCACCAACACGACGTGGGCGACGTGAATGTCCGGACCGATCGAGCCTTCCAGGGTTCTGCGGATATTCTACTCACTACGAATTAAATAGCTTTGAAATTTCTTAGAGAATATTCTTGAATGGCTAAAACATGTGCCCACGACATGTTTATACTTTGATTAACATAGAATTTCAATTATAATGGTAAGTCGAGATATATGCATCGTCAACATAATACCATAAACAACTGATCTCAAATTGAGTTATCTCTATTGATTTTGTAAGAATCAAAAGATAACATTAAGAATTTGTTAACCAAAAGGTTAAATTGAGATCAAGTTGAAAAAACATCTAAAGGAATGTGACTAAAGCCCATAAAATTTAAAGGCTTTATGTGAAGGAAAACTCTACCTTGTTGACTGGATATCCCAAGATCTAGGTTCAAATGAACAACCTAATTGCAGAAACCCTTGTACGGTTACTATGGGGGTATTTTATCCCAAATCTGTTTCTATGATGTAAACAATGATCAAAGTGGTATAGACTATTGACTTTTAAAGATAAGTCGAGCAACATAAGTCATCTATGTGAGAGTGAAGTGGGGCCGCTTCAAGGAGACTATTGGGTATAGTTCTTTCAAACTCTTGCAGAATGTGTTCATGGCTTTAAGGACATACCCATGAGAACTAAATTCTTGTCAGAGAGATAGTTGTGTGAAGTATATCATCGTTTGCACAAACGACAGAACAATTCAAGGACATCACGTATATTGTTTAACCAGTAAAGTAAATATACTTTCACAAGGGAAGGTTCAAAGGAGGACATCTCTCTATCCTATGCAACTATCAATCGTAGAGGATATCACCACATCGTGTCGAAATGTTTTTTTGATTAAATCATCAATTTTATTCATGTACGGGTGAATTTAATTGATGGATTTTATATTTATATTAAATTCATATCTCTTTGACTATTGTAGATTAAAAGATAATTTTTAATTTAAATATTAATAGGATAATTACTCTTTTAATAAGTTAATTTAAAAAGGTATTTGTTATCTTTTTAATTTTGAATATTAAAAGATAATTATATATTTTTGTATATTTCAAATTAAAATAATATATGTTTGAATAGTAAAAGAATTTTACTTTTTGACCATTGTAAATTAAATATATTATTTGATTTAAATATTAGTAGGATAATTACTCTTTGAATATGTCAACTTAAAAATGTATTTATTACATTTTTAACTGAATATTTATATATATGTTTCGAATTATAATATATTTAAGTTTCGAATTAAAATAATATATATTTAAGTTTGAATGGTAAAATGAGTTTTATATTTTGAATATTTCAAATTAAAAGATATTGTTATATATTTAATGTTAAATATTAAAAGATATTTGGTTGTATTAAATGTCTCTTGAAAATGCTCTATATATAGTGAGTTAACCTGCTAGGTTAAACAAGTTCAAACATCTCAACACATCTCACAACTCAGTTTTTTAAGAATTTTTCTTTTCTTGAAATTTTTTTTCTGTTTCTTAGTTTTCCGATGATAGTCAAAGGCAAGGATCATTCGTGATCTGTGCAGATATGCTATTGTAGTTGATCATTAGTTGTTGTATCATGGGAGACATACGACCAATGAACTCAAGCACCAAAGGAGTGGCCGAAAATATGTCTTAAGGAAATTGTGTAGCGACAAACCTAAGTTGATTTCGATAGATAGATCAAAATAAAAGGAGTATTTTATTTCCATTAATTTTTATCTTATCTTCTAATAAATTTAACATTTTTTATTTATTTTCTCAATATTGATTTTGTCTCAAATTGTTATTTCGGATAACAATATCAAGATAAGAGTAAACTCGTTCATTATGTTTATCACTTATATTTTATAATGATATTTATTCATTATTATTTTTCTATATAATTCTTAGATTAATGTGGGCGCTTTTTCTAACCACTTCACCTTGGCGGATTTGCATCACCTGCCTAATGTTCAGTATTTTAAGGGGGAGCTCGGTCAAGAATCTGTTTGAGTCTCGCCCGCATGTTGCTGCTTGGGTGGCTGATATCACGGAAAGGCCGTCTTGGATTAAGGTCCAAGATCTGCAGAAACAAAAAAGCTCGAAAACTTGGATTGCAATCCAAAGCTATTAGTATTTGATGAATAAGAATGAGGTGTTTGTAATCTTGTTTGCATTTTGGCCTCAGCGTTGTGTGATTTTGTCTCCTAATTTTCCTTCAGCCTTTGAGTAGAATATATTAAGGTTTGTGTTCATCTGTCATGAAATTGAAGTTGCAATCTGTTTCGACTTTTGAATGTCTTGGTTAATGTAGACATCATGGAGCTGGGGAACCCAAATCCCCAGACTTCTTTTCCCTCAACGTTCATAGCTCTTATATTGTTGATTAGTGACAGCTAAGTGAATGAATGAATGTGGACACTCCTTTGTGGAGAGAATTGAGAGTCTCGAGTAACTGGAAGTTGCACCGGCATAGAACAATGCGACACAATATATAATTGAAAGAGCCAATTAGAATGGGTTAAGTTTTGGATCTTGAAGCACATGGACTGTGCTTTCTTCCAGGTCTTTATAAAATCAATCCCATACCTTCGTTATCGGTCAACCATTTTCCTTCCCCGGTGCCATTTTTAGAAACAAGTTGTCTTAAAACAACTTAAGCGCCCACAATAAAGGAGAGGAAAAGAAAGAAATGGCTAACGCCTCTGGCTTTCCCTTGGTCATTTCGGTAGTCCTCACAAAACTGGTTGTCGCCTCGTTCACCGTCGACTCAAGCGGTGAGCACTACTTGAGTTTGGTTCCCGCCGAGGCTGGGTGCCAGGTCTCAGTGGCTGAGTGCATGATGTATGATGAGCTCGACATGGACTCTGAGATTAGCAGGCGAGTATTGCAAACCACGAAGTACATAAGCTATGGAGCTCTGCACAGGGACACTGTGCCATGCTCTCGAAGGGGGGCGTCCTACTATAACTGTCAGCCAGGAGGGAAGCTAATCCATACAACCGAGGATGCAGCACCATTACTCATTGTCGTGGTTAAGGTTATTCTTCTGCCTCCTTTTCTTTCTGTCATTTGTTTCTCATTTGTTAGAAACTTTGCAATAAACTGGGATTAAGGGATAGACCGTCAAGCTCCCCTCACGTGAGATGGAGACATTACATATGTTGTTGAAGAAATACCCATTTATGCTATTATGTAACCATTTGCCTCTCTTTGAACTCTAATTTTGATACCTTAGAAATGTACCTTTCAAGTATCAATTTCTCCAGTTATAAATACAGATACTAAACCAAATGACTTGACCAAACTCTGGTCTCAAACTCAAATGATCCCAAACTCGAGACTAGCCCGAATCGATGTTAGAGAGATTTAATCCAATTGATTCGTAAAAGCACTCGTAACTGTTTTAAGATGAAATGTGAGCTAGGACAGATCATCTTCAGAAAGCCAACTTTAGTCATTATCTCTTTAACATCATGTAGCATTTCAAAGATCTGGGATTGCATTGCACCTGGTATTGCACAGAGATCACTTCATATTCATATTATTTCCCTCTACAAATTGCTAAACAACAGAGTGCACAGAAGAAAAACTTGGTACATGTAAAAGAAACTGGAAAAGAGGGACACAGTAATGTCCCTACTCTTGCTTGCCAAAGTAGTCTCAATCGAAACAAAATATCACCTAATTACAATCACAATCAACTGCTAAACACAATCTTTGGCCAAGTTTTATGTTGAGCCATCTTATTGCTTTGCTGAGTCTGACTTTTTCTTTGATGGGGCTAAAGGGGAAGGAGAGCCATCCACGCCTATCTCTGCTTTTAGGTCATTGACGCTGTTCTCCAGCTCGTTTATACGGTCTCCCATTTCATCAAGTGCTTTGAAGTTAAGTAAAGAATAGAAGTCACACAATTCAGACTAAAACAAAAGTAACTAATTAACTATTTCCATTTAATTAATACTAAAATACTGCAAAACAGAACAAAGTTTCAAACTTCTTCATATCTTCCCAGCAAAACAGACATTAGATTAAGGTTCAAAACAGTCTCAGCTTAGCCTCATAACCCTAGATTTCCCAATAACTGGACAAATATGATAGTAAAGTACAAGATTACTCTAGCCAATTTGACCTACTCGTATAACAATACAATGGAAAAGCTATATAAAGAAAAATAGACATTTTTCCATGTAAAATATCTTTTACATAAATGAAGTAACTCAAAGACATTTCATATTACTAGAGAATTTCTATCTAATGAAAAGAACATGTTCCAATAAAATTAAAAAATATATGAAAAGGATATTCTTTGCAATAATGGAATCAGACATTGTTTGAAACCTGGTTTGCTGTAAACAAAACATTTGTCAATAACTGAGATATTTCAAACAACAAAGGGTCTGATTATAGCTCACCATTTGTTGAAGAAGATCTCGCACCTACAAAAAAACCAGTCAAAGAAATCATTAAATAGATACTTATAAGAACAGAGATGCACGTCGACCGCAACAGCAAATAATTGCTGAAGTTTACTCACTGACTAGGAACCTAAAAGTCGAGACTATATCAACATTAACAATACTTATGCCCTCACGATACTAGCAAAACATCATAAATGGATTATCATTACATCCTATAAACTGGGGTTGAGAAACTCACAAAAATAGACATATCAGCAGTGTTTGGTTTCGACTCATCCGAATTTCGCCCGTCCTGCGAAAATGTGTGCTGGTCAGCCCATAGCACACAACATTAGCATATGGCATGCTACTCAAAGCTAACCCCTACTTCAGATTTTAGTCAAAGCATCAAATACCTCGAAAGTATAGTCCTCAAAGAACCTAAAAAAATCATTTTCCTTTTTTGAAATTCAACAGGAATTATGAAAAGATCGCAATTGTATTTTGAATAAAAAGTTTGGGGTCTCAAAACAAGTAAAGCCTTTTTGAAAATCACAAGATAAACGCTCTTATACATCAAATACATTGTGAAAAGGTGATACGACTTTAGATCTTAACGTTTCTGGGAAACTCAAGGAAGTGGAGCAAATGATAGGTGGGAAGATACAGTCGTAAACTTTACAATATAAGAAAAACAAAGATAGAATGTCAAGTTTACCATCGTTTGTTCCCGCTGTGATCCTCAATTCGAAAACTTGGAAGCGTTGAGGTTTGAGGGAAATCAGAAACGATCGGCGCTTATTTTAAAGGCGGAGGGTCGCGCTCCTTTTTCATTCGGGCCTACACCATTCATTTTTCTTCTCTCCTCTTCTTATACTTTTTACAATAAGATTGATTGAATTATTCATTCAGGAAGCCTGAACCAACTTGTATACGTGTGACTAAAGAAATCATTATTATTCCTAGAAGTTACGGGTTCGAACATCAACGGTTACAGTCGAGTAGTTGAACTTCTATTGTCAAATAGTTAAGAGTATACGTTATTAATGGTTAAAAACATTATAAATAGATAATTGAACCATACGAGTGTGATGTATTTTTATTTTTTTAATAAAAAGTTAAAATTATAATGATCTTATATACATACATACATATATACATACATACATATAAAATGAGATTAGGATTATTGTGTTGAGAAATGCTTTTCTAATAAAATACATAGTAGATTTCCACCTGATTGGTAAAAAAAGAGGAAAGAACATGTAAAAGGAAATAACGTGTAAGTAGATAGTTTGGAGTAGTCCTACTCCTAGTATTGGATATCCAAAGTAAAGGAATTATCAAGAGTAGAATAGAAGAGGAAAGACGTAAGAGTGCAGAGAGCTAACTGTATTTACACCTTAACGGCTTCACCAAGCTATTATCAACCTTTCTTATTCTTAAGTCGTTGCAACTATCAGATTCAAACCAGCCAATTCAATATTGGATAAGCATCTTATCCACTATAATAGAATAACAAAACCCTACATTTGAAGAGTTGTAAGAAATTCCATACGAGGATTGTTTACGTAGTTGAGAGAATTTCATACAAGAAACTCATGTTGTGTAATACGGCTATCGGATAGAGCAAAATCGCAACTGATAATTTGAGAAAATAAAGATAAAGATAAAGAATACACAAATTTTTACATGGAAAAACCCCTAAATAATATAGGGTAAAAACCACGGGCAAAAATAGAATAATTTCACTGTGAGAAAATAGAAATTACAATTTCTCTCTATCTAACAAGCATAAAATAATAACAATTCTCTCTTGATAAAAAAAAAAAAGAAAACAACTCTCAAGAAAACTCTCTAAATTCTCTAGTATTGGGAGAAAGCTAGAATGATTTGGGATGGTTTTGAAGCTAAATGGGTTATGATATTTATAGTTGAAGCTTAAGGACTAATCTTGTAAATATCTTAAAGTACATGGACTAAATTTGATAATTTTCCCTTATCAAATTTTCAACAAAAAAACTGCCCCTTTTGACTTCACCATTCGATGCATTAATACACCGAAAGCATCTTGGAGTTTCAACAATTCATACATCTTAACACTTATCCTTGTGTACTAACTCGACAAGTTTGTCACATTGTTTTATTGCTTGAGTTATATCAGAGTACTTCGTATTTTCTTTTAATCAAATGAAAAAAAAATATTAAAATAAAATGTGTTGTTGACGAGGTTTGACATATTTACGTGTGTGTTCGTGTAAATACGTGTTTTTTTGAACATAAATGGTATGTTATTTCTTTTTTAATAAAATTTGTATAATTTTGTTATAAGAATTTGGTCCCACGTGACGTTTGTGTGAGAGGTATGTCATGTAGACAAAAGCACATCTTATAAAATGTACTTTTTGAAAGAAGTATCTTACAAAAAAACGTCTTTTATAGTATATATATATTACTTTTCACGTGACGTTTCTATCAAAAGGATGTCATTTTAAGTAATACTATTACTCAATTGTCATTTAATAAGAAAAATATATTATTTTAATAATATTATTCAATTTATCCCTATTTCCCATAAATTAGGATTTTGAAATATTCTTTATAATCGAGATAGATCAAGGTCAAGTGGAAGGATACTCAAGTTCGAGTTGTGGTTGAGGTAGTAAAAAAGATAGATACAATCATCTTATCCAATACCTATCACTAAACAGGAATGAAAACATAATTTTATGTTAGTGGCAAACATAAACTTATAAAGATTTTCAGGAAGAAACTTAAACTTATAAAATTCTAGAAGGAACGAAAACAAATTTTCAATAAAAAATATATAGATAAAATCTAAAATATATATTAATTTTAAAATTTTAGAAAGACGATTACTCCTACTCGTGCGCCTAGATCCATCACACTAAACATATTTTGAAGGTGTCACGTCAAAAATTATAAAAACTAAAAGAATTATATACATTTATTTATTAGATCCTCTTATAATGGAAAAAAAACTAACTGGCATGAAATCTTGTTAGATCCTCTTATAATGGAGGATCTCTCTCACTAGATGATCACCTTCAACATGTAAATAACACAGCTAATTATAATTTTCATGTCATCTTAAAGAGACTCCAGAAGTCGTATCCTTCCACTTTATGAAAGCATTATTAATCTTCTTCATCATCTTCCTCGCTTTCTTCAATATCATCCTCATTATCCTCCCTTTCGTTATCTTCATCACTATATCCCATTTCGTCATCATTATCACCATCTTCCTTTTCATTACCCTTCTCACTGTCAGGTTTTATCTTATTGCCAGCATTTCCTGGAAAAATAGAGAATGGTTTATTAAAATGCTAGTTGAATGATGGCACTGTATAGGGCAGATATCTGGAATTTCTCAGTGACTAATCTAGCATGTACAAGAAAAGGTAGACTTTCTATCTCTTTTATCGATTAAATGATTTATCTTGTTAACAATGATAAGAATTGATAGGATAGATGAGCATACCATATTCACTGAACATAACTTCACCAGAACATAATCCACCCTCAATTTTTGTGAGTTGGAGAGTCATTCTAGGTCCAATTTCTTGAAGCTTGACAGCACTTTTTGTGGAGGCGCGATTAACTCGACTAAGATCACTAGTCAGAGTAACTGTAGCAGCTTCCTCATCTGCTTCACTTTCTGATCCGTAACCCACTCTTCATATAACAAATCAAACACATGAGAGTTAAACACATCAAAAAGAGTATACCATTCATAAGGACGGTACTATAAATATGTATAGCTCATAACAATACTCACTTGGTGAGGAAGTCGCTCACATCTTTAAGATTCCTAAGATCAGGTACTTGATGGTTGTGCACGAATTTACGAATTCTCCGGGAGACACCAACAGGCTGTAATCTGATAGAATAATGTCGAAAATCAATAAGCTTTGTGTCTTTATTGTAATTAAGCAACACAATCCTCTGGCAAGAAGAAAGTTTAACCTGAAATTTTCATGTTGAGACAATGTTAAAAGGGAAGAATGAAACAAGTGAAGTTAGGATACTAAAATTTAACTGTCCAAGCACTCACAGTATTGATATCAATATCTGGAAAGATGTTCTTAAACACCGTAGTGGTGAGCTTTAAATGTTCATCTCCTGCTGCAAAGCCGGATAAAACAATCTACCCAATATATATTCAAAATTAATGTCATGAAGGTGTCATGTATAAGTTTAGACAAAAACTCAACCAATTCGGCTTGTAAAAAACTTGCATATTTTTTTATATAAAATAAGTTATACAAGCAGCTAATAATTACAATAACACAAGGAAGTTCCATTAGAGAGACAGTATGAGGCGAATAACTTACCAACGGGGGATTTTTGAAAAGATCCTGAGGACATCGAGGGCGCAATTGAGACTGAGCGATATCAACAGCCAATGAATACTCATGTATTTTAAAAGTAAGAGTAGGGCCTTGAGGAGTCTTTGCAACCCTAAGGAAAGGCGAAGTTTCAGTTTTGGATAGAATGAGGAAATGGGTTACACCCATTGGCCCTGCAACATTCAAAAAGTCTTTCAGATTGTTCCTTTTCTTCTCCTGCAACAATTAAATAACATCAAAACAAAAACCTTAATTAAAAAGAGAACTCACGAAACAAAGTAACACCAGTTTCTATATATATATATATATATAACGAAAAGAGAAAGAAAGAAAGAAAGAAAGAAAGAAAGAAAGAAAGAATTACCTTGAGATTGAGAGCAGTATAAGGAAGCATCAACTTTCTCAAGTCCATTTGGAGTTGCCTAATTGGACCAGGAAGCTTCCCTCTCGAAAACACGAAACTCTTTGGGATTTTATTCCCTGTGATATGGTCCACATTTGATTGCTGTTGCTGGTTCTTTTTCACAATAGGCTTCACAAAAACCTTCGTCTTTCTCTGTTTTTTTTTTTTCAATTCAGATATCAAAACATGATTAAACCAAACCAACCCAAAAACAATAACAAAATAAACCCTAAAAATAAACAAAAGCATGACGAAATTCATAGCTCAGTATATTAGTTTTGGAGTTCAAAAGAATCGACCAGCGCTAAAATTTCAAGAGCAAGCTATTACTTACATTACGGAAACGAGCCATTGCTATAATAGAGGCGCCGCAACCAGCGAGACCTCGGATTGAAAGAAGCAGACAAGCAGGGTTTAATCGGCGGCAGGGTTTTAGAGAAGCTAATTTTTCAGAAAAAAATAAATCGAATTCTGCAAGCAAAATCGATTGCTACTTCATATTCTGTTGGGCAAATAACTTAATGGTCTTGGGCTGAGTTTAACTGCATTTCTAAGATTTCAGATTTCAGCACAGTTTCTTTTATTTATTTTAAGCCCAAAATTGATTTTAACCATTAATATATATATATATTATATATATATATATATATATATATCTTTATGCTACTCAAAAAATATCAATTTGACTATTAAAATTTAAATAAAATTCTAGTTTGATCTTTTAAATTCAGATAAAATATCAATTTGACCTCTTAATTATGTGAAATTCCATGTATTGTTGATCATCACTCATCATCATCGCCATCCGCCTCCGATCACCACCTCAAACGACTATTAGACTTCAAAATTTTTAAATTCACTTCCTTTTTATCCTATGAAAGTAAATTTGATATCTATTTAATTTTTCAAAAAGATTATATTTCATAATAAAAAATCTCCCCAAACTTCTTTTTTGGGCACCCAATTTCTTTTTTTTTTCTAAAAGGGTTTGTTCACATTCTTTTATGTGAGAGAAGAAGAAGAAGGGAAGATAGCATAAGC